AATGACTTTCTTGTATCAAAATAAGAACAGCTGCATACATAATCTAAACACTCTCCCAAATTCATGTCACATGTTTGCTTGGAGGATAGAGCCCCTAAAGGCTCAGATAACTTAAATAGTTCTTGAAGCCTGCATGCCTCGGTTAAAGGAAGTAGTATGTGATAAAGTTGTTAAAGGAATCTTTTTACTATAGTGCTGATGGTCTTTTGGCTTGTGATATTGCTTGCTCTAGTGTATTGAAGGTCCTTTCAGAGGTACTGGAGCTCTTACTCAATTTCTCTGTGTATGTTCTACTGCATAAAATGCTGACCCATAAAGCAGAACAGATCCTGTGTTCAGTATTTACTTAGAGAAAGTAAAAAGTCCCATACTGAAAACTGTAAGAAGTGTACTTGAAAAGCAAAGCTCTCTTCCTATTCAGTGCTTGATATTGATTAATCTCTGTAATAATGTATGTAGATGTTTTAATATTTTTAAAGGTAATTTTTTATCTTTGCTGGCAGCATTAAGGGGTTAATTCAGCTCAGATATTAATTATCTCTCTCCCTAGTTTGCTATTCAGGGATCATCAGTTGTTGGATGACTCATGAAGGATTAGAAAAGGGGTTGAAGGGCTAGAGGTTGAATTCAGTGGAATGTTAGTTGATGAATTTGATGAGTAGCTAAAGGAAGAATCTGGTAGAGGATAAGCAGCAGAACTTGAGCAATTAAATCCAGTGGGAAATCAGCAGAAGTAGTAAAGGGCATATTGGAGGAAGCATCTAGCAAAATACTGATGAGTGAAACGGGGGCTGAACTGGGAAGATGCAACTTCTTCACTGCCCACAGTAGAAGAAGAATTTTAAGGAATACCAGATGAGGATTTCAGTTTGGATGAGTTGAGTGATCTCAGCACTGGTTAGGCCACATCTGTAATACTGTGTCCAGTTCTGGGCTCCTCAGTACAAGAAACAGAGCTACTGGATAGAGTCCAGTGAAGGGCCACTAAAACAATTAAGGGACTGGAGCTTCTCTCACATGAGGAAAAGGCTGAGGGAATTGCTGGAATTGTTCAGTATAGAGAAAGCTTACAGTGAGGGTCTCATCAATGTATATGTGAAGGGAGGGTGTAAAGAAGGGGGAGCCAGGCTGTTGTCAGTGGTGCCCAGTGGCAGGACAAGAGGCAACGGGCACAAATGGAAGTACAGGAGGTTCTGCCTGAACTTAAGGTGACACTTTTCTGCTGTGAGAGTGACAGCACTGGAGCAGGTTGGCTGGAGAAGTTGTAGAATATCCACTTTTGGAGATACTCAGAAGCCATCTGGACGTGATCCTGGGCAACCCACTCTAGGTGGCCCTGCTTGAGCAGGGGATTGGAACAGATGACCTCCAGAGGGTCCTGCTAACCTCAACCATTTTGTGATTGGTAGAAAACCTAGAAAAATCTGAGTAAGGTGTTGAGTAGGAAGCTAGTGAGGAGGAGCTGGGAGAGAGTGTTTAGCGTTTTTGTTTATTTTTTAATCTAAGCTACTTTAAATAAAATAGTTGGTTATCAATCAAATATCTTTATAGTAAATTGTATAGGTAAGGCATGTTCTAGCTACTGGGAGACTGATTTTGATTGTGTTTACTTCATCAGCACCAGCAAAAGATTTAACTTGTCTCTAAAAATGTCAGTGTTCATGACTAACCTTAAAGCTGTGAAGTTAAGTTCTGCATGTTAAATAGTCATGGGCTTAAAAAGAACCTGAGGACTTTCTGGCCTCAAGTTGCACCAGGGGAGGTTTAGATTGGACATGAGGAAAAATGTCTTTACTGAAAGAGTGGTTAAACATTGGAACAGGCTGCCCAGGGAAGTGGTTGAGTCCCCATCCCTGGAGGTATTTAAAAGACGTGTAGATGAGGTGCTTAGGGACATGGTTTAGTGGGCATGGTGGTGTTGGGTTGACGGTTGGACTCGATGATCTTGGAGGTCTTTTCTAACCTTAATGATTCTGTGATTCTATGATTCTATGACTTACCTTCTGGATTCTGTAGAAGGAAGTCTGTACAATATAGTGCATAGAGCTATGTAGCTTATCAAATGGAGGTACCACTACTGCCAAAGTTTTTCTGGGATGTTGTAGCTACTTTAGCCTCTCCTGTGGAGGAATAGTGATACATCTTACCCTGTGAAACAGTGGACTTAATGTACCTCTGCACTGGTGACATTGAGGCATGCTTCCAAAAAACATTCTCCCCTGCCTAACACCCGAATTTATTTATTTATTCAAAAGCAGGTTATCTACTTCATGTATTGATCACTGTCATTGTCAGCTTTAAGGTATGAATAGTGTGGCACAGGCTCCACTTCTTGCAGAGTAGGTTCTGGCACTGTCAGCAGTGTTACGTATACTCCAGTTGATGAAAACTAACCATTTCAAAGCTACCTCCACTTTATGTGGATAGCTGCAGTCTCAGTGACCAGAGTCCTAAAACCTGTGTTGAGCTTTGGATTCTGAGTAAAAGCTCTTGTATTTTTTCTTGTCAGAAGGCTCACTTCAAAGTGAGCACCTCTTTTTTTTTTTTTTTAAATTTTTTTTTGCTTTAAGATGCTTAAGATATTCTCTAATATGGAAAAGTGTAACTCAAAACAATTTTTCCACAGCTTTCTGTAAAAAGTATTTGCAACAATCTCTGCATTTACGTGAATGTTTAAGGTAGTACAACATGAAAATACGGGTGCTTTCAGCTGAATGTAGTGCATTAAATGCCAAAAGCAGGCAGTAGAATTGTGTGTATAACATGAATATTTGTATTGGTGAACTACAGCCCTTGTAGATTCTGCTGTGTTGAAACATTGGTGGGACAGCTTCTGTCCTGAAGAGTAAGGGAATTTATCTTCTAAAAATGAGGAGTTTTCAACTTGTTGATGAATTTTCTGTGGAACTAGTGACTTTTTAAGGAGCTACTCAAGTTATAATTGGTTTTATAAGCAACTGAATAAGGACTGAGGTCATGCTTTCTAAAAATGTACACTGGTGGAATCAAAGATGAAACTGAATAAATACTTTGAAATGTTTGCACCTTTTATACAGTTTGAAGTGGCATGTAGTGAAGCCCACAGAATGCAGGTGGGACTCTCTATATCCTGATTGCCATTGAATATGTAAAGAGTAGCATTCAGATGCATAATCCCTGTAAATTTGTGGATGTGAAGAATTTCTAAAATTGTGCTATGAATTGAGTCTGTTGAACTCCAGTGAGCTATGTTGCACTGCTATTGCAGTTACAGAAAGTTTTCTTTATAAACAGAGGCATCTTTATTCATCTGTAGGAAAGAGGAGAAGTATGTATGAAGACTTCTGGGGTGATTTTTAACTGATTAGTCCCTTCAGACTCTTCAAATGAAAATTTATAGTACTGTTGAAGACAGCTCTGAACACTTCCAAATGGAGCAAAGTTAATGTTATGTGCTGTGTGTTGCACCGGAATTAACTCAGCCAGTCACAATTTCTCTTCACTGATTTTCAGGCAAATTCTTTGTAAAAATAAGGGTGCATGAAGGCTAGTACTTTTTAAAACTTGATCTGATAATATGACAGACAGTTAACTCTCTTAACTTTTGAGACATGTGGTCTCGCTTTCTGTGACACCTGGTTACAGCAGAATCTGCTTTTTCCTAGTGAGCTCTTCCAGTGATAGTTTTCAGTCTCTTTGACATACAGATGGATGGTAATCCTTATAACAGGAAGAAAAGGAAAGGTGATGCTTCCTATGCAGTACTATTTGTATTGCAAAGTACTGCCTTGGAATGCCAAGGTCTGGTTAACTGGTATTCAGCACTCTGTACCATATACTTCTCCTATTCTTCGACTGTCCTTTGACATTAGAACTGACTGTTTATTCTTAATATAGAGATTGAGTTCTCATTTCAGTAAGTTTGTTTTATACTTAAACTATAAGTTTAAGTGCTGGTGCTGGTTGACGGCTGGCTGAACACGAGCCGGCAGTGTGCCCAGGCGGCCAAGAAGGCCAATGGCATCCTGGCCTGTATCAGCAATAGTGTGGCCAGCAGGAGTAGGGAAGTGATTGTGCCCCTGTACTCAGCACTGGTGAGGCTGCACCTTGAATACTGTGTTCAGTTTTAGGCCCCTCACTACAAGAAGGACGTTGAGATGTTGGAGTGTGTCCAGAGAAGGGCAACGAGGCTGGTGAAGGGTCTGGAGAACAAGTCTTATGAGGAGCAGCTGAGGGAGCTGGGGTTGTTTAGCCTGGAGAAAAGGAGACTGAGGGGAGACCTCATTGCTCTCTACAACTGCCTGAAAGGAGGTTGTAGCGAGGTGGGTGTCGGTCTCTTCTCCCAAGTAACTGGCGAAAGGACGAGAGGAAATGGCCTGAAGTTGCACCAGGGGAGGTTTAGATTGGACATGAGGAAAAATTTCTTTACTGAAAGAGTGGTTAAACATTGGAACAGGCTGCCCAGGGAAGTGGTTGAGTCACCATCCCTGGAGGTATTTAAAAGATGTGTAGATGAGGTGCTTAGGGACATG